AGAGACTAAAAATGTATAACTTATCATTTCATAATATATAATATATATTTATAAAAGTTATCGTTCGCATTGCACTAAACATTTTTTAATAACTGATGTATAATACGCCATAGAAATCATTGCGCACAGCATGTGTGTGTGTAAGAACTGTGTGTGTGACACACGCGTGCAGTTGTGTCGTGCGGCGTGTAACGTGTACACGCCCGTGTGCGTGCGCATTGTGTGGTAGAGGTGTGTGTGTGTGATTGTGTGCGCGTGTAGAGGTGTGTGTGTGTGTGATTGTGTGCGCGTGTGAAGAGGGTGTGTGTGTGTGATTGTGTGCGCGTGTAGAGGGTGGTGTGTGCTGTGATTGTGTGCGCGTGTAGTGTGTGTGTGTGTGATTGTGTGTGCGTGTAGAGGTGTGTGGTGTGTGTGTGATGTGGTGTGCGCGTGTAGAGGGTGTGTGTGTGTGTGATTGTGTGCGCGTGTAGAGGGTGTGTGTGTGTGATTGTGTGCGCGTGTAGAGGTGTGTGTGTGTGATTGTGTGCGCGTGTAGAGGGTGTGTGGTGTGTGATTGTGTCGCGTGTAGAGGTGTGTGTGTGTGATTGTGTGCGCGTGTCGTGTGATTGTGTGTGCGCGTGTAGAGGGTGTGTGTGTGTGTGGTGTGCGTGTAGAGGGGTGTTGTGTTGATGTGTGCGCGTGTAGAGGGTGTGTGTGTGTGTTGGTGTGCGCGTGTGTGTGTGTGTGTGATTGTGTGCGCGTGTAGAGGGTGTGTGTGTGTGTGATTGTGTGTGCGTGTAGAGGGTGTGTGTGTGTGTGATTGTGTGTGCGTGTAGAGGGTGTGCGTGTGTGTGATTGTGTGTGCGTGTAGAGGGTGTGTGTGGTGTGGTGTGTGTGTAGAGATCGTGTGTGTGTGTGTGATTGTGTTCGCGTGTAGTGTGTGTGCGCGTGTAGAGTGATTGTGTTCGCGTGTAGCTGTGTGGCGTGTGTGTGTGTGTGTGATTGTTGTGCGCGTGTAGGGTGTGTGTGTGTGTGTGATTGTGTGTGTCGTGTAGGGTGTGTGTGTGTGTGTGATTGTGTGTGCGTGTAGAATTGTGTGTGCGTGTAGAGTGTGTGTGATTGTGTGTGCGTGTAGAGGGTGTGTGTGTGTGATTGTGTGCGTGTAGAGAGTGTGGTGTGTGTGTGTGATTGTGTGTGCGTGTAGAGGGTGTGTGTGTGTGATTGTGTGTGCGCGTGTCGATGTGTGATTTGTGTGCGCGGGTAGGGGTGGTGTGTGTGCTTGTGTGCGCGTGTCGAGGGTGTGTGTGTGTGATTGTGTGTGCGTGTAGAGGGTGTGTGTGTGTGATTGTGTGCGGTGTAGAGGGTGTGTGTGTGTGATTGTGTTCGCGTGTAGAGGGTGTGTGTGTGTGATTGTGTTGCGTGTAGAGGTGTGTGTGTGTGATTGAGTTCGCGTGTAGAAGGTGTGTGTGTGTGATTGTGTTCGCGTGTAGAGGGTGTGTGTGTGTGTGATTGTGTGTGCGTGTAGATGTGATTGTGTTCGCGTGTAGAGGGTGTGTGTGTGTGATTGTGTGCGTGTAGAGGGTGTGTGTGTGTGATTGTGTTCGCGTGTAGAAGGTGTGTGTGTGTGATTGTGTTCGCGTGTAGAGGGTGTGTGTGTGTGATTGTGTGCGCGTGTGTTGTGTGGTGTGATTGTGTGCGCGTGTAGAGGGTGTGTGTTGTGTGATTGTGGTGCGCGTGTAGAGTGGTGTGTGTGTGCGCGTGTGAATGTGTGCGCGTGTAGAGGGTGTGTGTGTGTGATTGTGTGCGCGTGTAGAGGGTGTGTGTGTGATTGTGTGCGCGTGTCGAGGGTTGTGTGTGTGATTGTGTGTGCGTGTAGAGGGTGTGTGTGTGTGAGCGGTGTGTGTGTGTGTGATTGTGTGTGCGCGTGTAGAGGGTGTGTGTGTGTGATGTGTTCGCGTGTAGAAGGTGTGTGTTGTGTGATTGTGTTCGCGTGTAGAAGTGTGTGTGTGTGATTGTGTTCGCTCGCGTGTGACCCGCCTGTAGAGGATGTGTGTGTGTGATTGTGTGCGTGTACAGGGCTGTGTGTGTGATTGTGTACGCGTGTACAGGGGTGTGTGTGTGATTATGTACGCGTGTAGAGGGTGTGTGTGTGTGTGATTGTGTGTGCGTGTAAACAGACTAGCCCCCCTCCCCCTCTCCATCCCCCCTCTCCTTCTCCATCCCCCTCCCCTCCACCCCCCCCCTTCCCCTTCCTCGTTTATCAGCCAAGTGATTCCAGAACCACGTTGGTCGGCCGCGCAGCCCAGCCGACAGCGACCGACAGACAAGGAGACAAGGGCCGGGATTAGGAAAGCCCTCAAGTGGAGTCACAGAGCCACAGAGCCACAGAACGGGTGCCAGCGAGCGAGGAAGAGGGCCAGGCTAGGTAGGTGCTGTGCCACTTCGATTGTCACTTGAACCTTTTTTTTCTCTCATATTTCGTAATTTTCGAGCTATGGGATGTCTTAAAAGATAGTATGGT